GCATCAGTCGTTAGGTCAGACACTAATTCTAAGTGGACCGTACGATACGTTGTGCTGAAGGGACCACAAAAATAAACGCCACAAATATTGAACGGGCGGAGAGCTCGAAGTCTATCTGCTGGCAAGTTCCCCATAATTTGCGTCAAGAGTTTCGGCTTGCAGCGAAAGCAGCGCATGCACGACCGAACTGTTTGTCGGCAGACTTCTTGAGCATTAACTAGCCATATATTCTCGCGCAGACGACTTACGAGAGCTCGTGGGCCAGCGTGTCAATTCGTAACGTGCAGGTATGAAACATAGGATCTGACGACCTGTGAGCTTTTAGACAGCATCAACGGGAATTTAGCTTTTGAATATTATGCTACCGGTTTATTTTTCCAAATTTTACTTATGTCGTCCCTGAATTCGTGAAATTGGATAACTTCGACAATTTTATCAAAAGCGAAATCTAGTTTTCTTGGCGAAATACTTGTTTCAAAACGAAAAACCCACACGAACACTCTCAGGAGCTTCAGGTGCGACGAAAAGGACTCATTTTCTGAAGCACATAATTTGGTTCTGGGCTGACTACGAGAGCTATTGCCAATTTGCGTAGCTCCATCGACATTACATCAGCCGGCAGTTCGAAATGTTTATTTACAGGCCAATTATTTTTTGAGTCTAGCAAGAACGAAGGCCTACCGAACCAAATGGACGTTGTAAGCTCCTCTACGTCACATCCTCGGGACACTATGTCTGCTAGGTTGACTTTCGTGGGAACGTGTCTCCAAATTGCTTTCTCCGACCACTCCTGAATTTCTGCAACCCGGTTCGAAACAAAAACCGACAACGACGAGGGATGGGTTTTAATCCAGTGTAAAGTGATCTAGTCTGTCCACAGGAAAACATTCTCAATGGGAGAATTTAGCAATGGCCTGACACGAATATAGAGATCTGCTAAAAGGTGAGCAGCACACAGTCAAGGCGAGGTAAAGTTTTCGTCTTGAGGGGAGCTACTTTCGATTTGGCGGTCAATAAAGACACTTTCAAAACTTCAGCAGTTTGAGTACAAACGTAGATGATGAAACCATGTATTTGAATCGGGACTTGTGGATCTGTGTTGCCGAATTTTCGGCAGCTGCAGAAGCGTCGCCTTAAACGTCTCCCACGATGTAAGCAACTGCATCGGTAGCGACTCGTCCCAATCTAATTTTCGAAGCCACAGTTCCAGCAAAAACATCTTTGCATTTGTGACCAAAGGACACAAGAGGCCAACTGGGTCGAAAAGTCGAGCAGTCAACAACAAAATATTTCGCTTTGTACACGCATTGAACAGAGTCAATCCTGGCAGCGACAAACGACAAAAAAATAATACAATCACTATCGTACACCCGCTTTTGTTCCTAACGCGTCTCCAGCTAAACAAGAAATTAAATTATTGAATTTTTCAATATCGTGTAAAGTGTCATCTTTGCCAATGAAAGTTTCGAAAAGACTTATACAATTTGTAAATTCGGAGTTTTTTCCGCTAAAAGCTGGGAGAACAACGCTCGGTAGGCGGCATTGAGGCGGGCGATTTGCTGGTGGAGCGGATTTCTCGATATTATTATTTATTTTATTTAAAATCGAAATCAGCCATGACTTAGTCATTACGGCCCTCCCTTCCAACGCTTCCCGGTATACATCCTTTGTATATTTCACTTCTATTTGGTTTTGCACAAGTGAAGCATTTTCAATGTGCGTATTTAGAATCTCTAATCGATACTCAAGCTCAACCGGATTTACAGATAATTTAGCTTCTTTTAAATGGCGATAAGTTCGGCTAATACTTTTCATACACCTCGTTGGTTGTAAAGCTCTTCGATATTCTTAGTTGCCATTGCGATTTTATTTGTATTTATTTTGTTGGTATCGAAGAGGTGTTAAATATTTATTTTTATTTAATTATTTATTTGTTAAATAATCAAATAAAAAAATCAACGAGTAATATACCGATCGCACACAGTGTAGGGGAGCTAAGTGCCGAGAGAAGTAAAGCGAAAAATATCTAAATAGGGTTTTTATATTATTTATATAAACCCTGCGACAGAATTATGCCGCACGCACGCACTGTAGGGGAGCTAACGCTCAAGCTCAAGCGTACCGAAAAAACGAACAAACGCAGCGATCGAGAACGAAAACGACCAAAGATAACTCAAAATAGCGGCAGCGGTGTCGGTGTGCGAACTAAATTTATCACTAGTAATATTGTTAAAAAAAATATATTTTTATTTTTAGTAACTTGGTGTTAAACCTTTTTATTTAATTTCACAAGTACAATACACTTAATTTTTCACAATCGAATTTCTTACTTCCGAACTGTTTCTTGATCAAAGATGGACTGCCGGCTTAATTCAAAAATCTTATCCAATGAACCTCGGCCAGAAGCTTTTCTTTGAGCTTCTCGAACTTTTCCTTTTGTTTAGAATATAACCTTAGGATGAAATCATGGCATCCTATTGTGAAACTCAAATATAATGACCGATGCAATTTGTTTGGGCTTGGGTCGCAATAGCTTTAGGATTTGTTTGTTTATTTGGTAGGGAAATCAAGAGCGGACCCCAAAGCCAAAGGCATGGGCAAAGACAAAGGCAAATGCCAAGGCATAGGCAAAGATTGTTTAAATTGAATTTTGAAAAAATTGTTTATTAATTCCATAAGCGGCCCGGTTTCACGGGTTGGTTAACTCTCCCCCTTCTAAAATGGATCGCCCCGATTCATTATGAATTTCTTTTAAGCGTTCTCTTAGTTTTGAAAAAAACATTGGTCTTGGTTTGTATCTTTTTCTTTAAAAGTTCCTTCGTGGTTTGTGTTTTCTTCTATTAAAATTTCATCTTGGATTGTATTTTTTTTTTAAACTTTTTCTTGGTTTGTACTGATTTCTAGTTCTGGCCGTTGTTTTTTGGTTACAAAATTTCTGTATATTATGTAAAGTAATAATCTTAAAAATATAATGATAAATGATCTGATTATATTTTTGAGCGGCTCTAATAACTATTTCGGAAAAATTAGTTAAATTAAACTCCTCTTTTATGCAGAGAGCTATTTCTGTTAATGTCGAGTGTGCTCTTTCTACTTGTCCGTTTGAAGTACTGTGTCTTGGTTCTGCGTAATGCAAAGTAATTCCACACCTTTGTGCAAATGATTTCAATTGGGCCGAGGTAAAACTAGGTTCGTTATCGGTTATAATTACTTTTGCTTGGGGAAATTGTTGAAGTAGTTCCATTACCTTAATTTCAATGTTTAACGTATTTTGAATTTCTTTTACAACAAGGTATTTTGAATACGCGTCTATACAAGTAATAAATGTTAAGTTTTGCGCGTAGTATATATCTATATGTAAATTTTCTCCTTCTTTAGTTGGAATAGGGGCTTCCCCGATTGGAATTTTTATTGGGTGCCTGTTATATATGTTTTCATTACAAATCACACAATTTTTTATATATTCTTTCAATTTTTTAAATAAGTTTGACCAATAATATAACCTACTGATTTGTTTATAATTTTCATCTAGACCCCTATGAGCTCGACTGTGTGTTTCTTCTATAATTATGGCTTTATCTTCATCGTTTTCTATGTCTTGAAGAAAGATTCTCGTAAAAAGAAATGGGTTAGTGAAATTATTTTTTAAGGGTAATTGAATGTGATATAAGTCCTCTAATGTACAATGAATTCCTACCGTAATGTTTGGTGGAATATACTCTTTAAATATAGTTATTAAATTTTCTGGTGTATCGTATTCAATTATGTGTCGTGTCCTGCCAAAAACTTCCACTGACCCATGTATTGTAAACCTCCCCGTTGTTAATAACAGTTGTTGCTTAAACTGATTTAACGGTTTACGGGTCTCTTGTATTACATTTTCAAAACTACTGTCAGCAGAATGCTGTGTGTTTTGATCTGAGTCTGACTGTTCTGTTTGTTCTACATCACTGTTTGTAATGTTATTTATTTGTATTCGAGATAATGCACCGGCTACAACATTTGTTGTACCGGGTTTATATATTATTTTTGGGGTAAAACTTTCTATGAAAGAATACGATCTTTTCATTTCTACGTTGGGATTTTTGTCCAAAATCGTAAAAGACAAAGATTGGTGGTCCGTTTGGATTTCTATACCAACTACTCCGTACAAATAATTTCTCAAATTTTTTAAGGCCCATACTATTGCTAGCAGTTCCTTTTTGTTAGTGACATAAAGTTGCTCGGTTTTATATTAAGTGTCTTAGAAATGAAAGTAATTGGTTTGTTATCCTGTGATAATACCGCCCCAATAGCTACGTCTGATGCGTCTGTTGTCAAAGTGAATTTTTTACCATAATCTGGTTGAACTAGTTCAACTTGTGCTATTAGATTCTCTTTCAGTTCGTTAAAAGCTTGTTTAGCTGAATCGTCTAATTTTACTAAAACTTTTGTAGATATTCTTTTAGAAACATTTCCATTTTCCCCTCCTAAATATTTTGTAAGTGGTTTTGCAATTTTTGCATAATTACGTATAAATTTTCGGTAAAAGCCAGTTAAGCCTAGAAAACTTCGAAGTCCTTAATATTTTGTGGTAACGGATACATTGAGATTGTGAAAATTTTACATTGTTTAAACTCGTGAGAGAGAAATAGACGCACTTTTGTGAAGCTCCGCTTTAAACACCGAAAAACACCTTTAACTCGGCTTAAAAAATTAAAAACTGCTTACGGCAGCATCATTAATAAGAGTACAACACGTTAAAGCTCTTGTTGCCCGGAATAAATCGGTTTTAAGCATTAAATCGCTTCTTAATAAATCCACAATTAAGTGCAACAACAATCCAATAAAGAAACAGTGCATAGCAAAACACAAGAGCACAGAGACAAAACACTCAGCACATCAAAACACTCAACACATCAAAACACTCAACCCTCTCGGCACCAACACAATAATGTCTTCAGCAGCAAAGCGACTTAGGAAGGAAACTCACTCCGATCTGAAGGGAGTCCGTGACTCCGATGCTCAACTGCTTCCACGATCGACCTCAGATTTTCCGAGCTAAAGGAAAGTCTTTCAGGGAGATTCGTGATGGCGAGGCACGTATAACCGGCACTCTGGAAGAAAAATTTAAGTTAATAGCAGCTGACTGCAACAAACTCACACTGAGAGTCACTCAATTGGAGAGCGAGGTGAGAGAGATGGGGATGCTGAGGCAGCGGGTCCAGGAGCTGGAGGCGAAACTGTCTAAAAACTGCCAGGATCAGCGCGTTGACGAGTTGGAGGCAAAGTGGGTGGCCTCCTGCAACGCACAGGCGGCGTCTGAAGTCGCCTGTAACTTGCGTTGGCATGGGGTCCCACAAGTCCAGGGGGAAAATGTGAAAGCACTTTTTCACGCACTGTGCTTCTCTCTCAAACTGACCACGCATGCGACCGCGAAAACGACCCGTACAGTAGTGGATCCAATTATAATTATTAAAATGGACACGTGCACGATAAGGCGACACTGCTGCGTGCGATCGGGGCATACCGAAAAGAAAACAAAACGGAACTGAGCTTAAAGCTCATCGGCCTAGACTCGCCAGCGTTTATATATATAAACGAACAGCTGACCAAAACAAAATATGAAATTTTCAAGCGGGCGATGCATCTCAAGAGGCTGAAGCGCCTAACAGCTGTTTTCTCTCGCCGTGGAGATATCTTCGTAAAAGAGAGAGAGGGAGGGGAGGCCATTTGCGTGCAAAGCCTGGGCGAACTGGCTCAAATGGAGATTTGCACCCCCGATGAATTAGCTGCGCTGGAAGCTGCTAGTTCTGGGACATTAAATGATAATTCATTTCGCACCTAAGAGGCGCTTATATTTATATACCATTGTTGTGAAATTATCAGTAGTTTTATTATATTTATTTAGGATTAGTATCAGTCGCATTAATTTTATTTTGTTTCTTGGTGTGGTGTGTCTTTATGTCATAAATATTTATAGACTGCGAGCGCAGCTAATATTACAATTAAATAATTTAAAATGGGTGACAGCAACAACAATAACATAAACATAAATCCAAATCGATCAAATAGCCATGCGATGTTAAGGGTTCTCGGTCTCTGTGTCATATAAATGCTCAAAGCCTCACACGAAAAATTGAAAAATTTAGATACCTCTTTATCAATTCGAGTGTAGATGTTATATGTGTTTCTGAAACTTGGTTTGTTCCTCATTTATGTGATGTTTTAGTTGAATGTGATGGTTATAATTTGCATCGCTCTGATCGTGATAGTCATGGGGGTGGGGTTGCTATATATGTTAGTAAAAAGTTATGTTCCACGTTTATATGTAAACACTCAACAAGTAGAGCAATTGAATATTTATTTATAGAAATTAAATGCCAAAGATATGCTGATAAGCTACTAATTGTGTGTATATACCGACCTAACTGCCGGATTGACTATAAACAATTTTTAAACATCATTCCTGACGTGTCAATTAATTATTCAGACGTCATTATAACAGGCGATTTTAATAGCGATATTTTAAGGGGTTCCGACCTTGCAGAGGACATGAAATCGCTGGGGATGAAGTTGGTTAACTTTGTGTTTTTCTACGCATTTTACTGATTTCTAGTTCTGGCCGTTGTTTTTTGGTTACAAAATTTCTGTATATTATGTAAAGTAATAATCTTAAAAATGTAATGATAAATGATCTGATTATATTTTTGAGCGGCTCTAATAACTATTTCGGAAAAATTAGTTAAATTAAACTCCTCTTTTATGCAGAGAGCTGTTTCTGTTAATGTCGAGTGTGCTCTTTCTACTTGTCCGTTTGAAGTACTGTGTCTTGGTTCTGCGTAATGCAAAGTAATTCCACACCTTTGTGCAAATGATTTCAATTGGGCCGAGGTAAAACTAGGTTCGTTATCGGTTATAATTACTTTTGCTTGGGGAAATTGTTGAAGTAGTTCCATTACCTTAATTTCAATGTTTAACGTATTTTGAATTTCTTTTACAACAAGGTATTTTGAATACGCGTCTATACAAGTAATAAATGTTAAGTTTTGCGCGTAGTATATATCTATATGTAAATTTTCTCCTTCTTTAGTTGGAATAGGGGCTTCCCCGATTGGAATTTTTATTGGGTGCCTGTTATATATGTTTTCATTACAAATCACACAATTTTTTATATATTCTTTCAATTTTTTAAATAAGTTTGACCAATAATATAACCTACTGATTTGTTTATAATTTTCATCTAGACCCCTATGAGCTCGACTGTGTGTTTCTTCTATAATTATGGCTTTATCTTCATCGTTTTCTATGTCTTGAAGAAAGATTCTCGTAAAAAGAAATGGGTTAGTGAAATTATTTTTTAAGGGTAATTGAATGTGATATAAGTCCTCTAATGTACAATGAATTCCTACCGTAATGTTTGGTGGAATATACTCTTTAAATATAGTTATTAAATTTTCTGGTGTATCGTATTCAATTATGTGTCGTGTCCTGCCAAAAACTTCCACTGACCCATGTATTGTAAACCTCCCCGTTGTTAATAACAGTTGTTGCTTAAACTGATTTAACGGTTTACGGGTCTCTTGTATTACATTTTCAAAACTACTGTCAGCAGAATGCTGTGTGTTTTGATCTGAGTCTGACTGTTCTGTTTGTTCTACATCACTGTTTGTAATGTTATTTATTTGTATTCGAGATAATGCACCGGCTACAACATTTGTTGTACCGGGTTTATATATTATTTTTGGGGTAAAGCTTTCTAAGAAAGAATACGATCTTTTCATTTCTACGTTGGGATTTTTGTCCAAAATCGTAAAAGACAAAGATTGATGGTCCGTTTGGATTTCTATACCAACTACTCCGTACAAATAATTTCTCAAATTTTTTAAGGCCCATACTATTGCTAGCAGTTCCTTTTTGTTAGTGACATAAAGTTGCTCGGTTTTATATTAAGTGTCTTAGAAATGAAAGTAATTGGTTTGTTATCCTGTGATAATACCGCCCCAATAGCTACGTCTGATGCGTCTGTTGTCAAAGTGAATTTTTTACCATAATCTGGTTGAACTAGTTCAACTTGTGCTATTAGATTCTCTTTTAGTTCGTTAAAAGCTTGTTTAGCTGAATCGTCTAATTGTACTAAAACTTTTGTAGATATTCTTTTAGAAACATTTCCATTTTCCCCTCCTAAATATTTTGTAAGTGGTTTTGCAATTTTTGCATAATTACGTATAAATTTTCGGTAATAGCCAGTTAAGCCTAGAAAACTTCGAAGTTCTTAATATTTTGTGGTAACGGATACATTGAGATTGTGAAAATTTTACATTGTTTAAACTCGTGAGAGAGAAATAGACGCACTTTTGTGAAGCTCCGCTTTAAACACCGAAAAACACCTTTAACTCGGCTTAAAAATTAAAAACTGCTTACGGCAGCATCATTAATAAGAGTACAACACGTTAAAGCTCTTGTTGCCCGGAATAAATCGGTTTTAAGCATTAAATCGCTTCTTAATAAATCCACAATTAAGTGCAACAACAATCCAATAAAGAAACAGTGCATAGCAAAACACAAGAGCACAGAGACAAAACACTCAGCACATCAAAACACTCAACACATCAAAACACTCAACCCTCTCGGCACCAACACAATAATGTCTTCAGCAGCAAAGCGACTTAGGAAGGAAACTCACTCCGATCTGAAGGGAGTCCGTGACTCCGATGCTCAACTGCTTCCACGATCGACCTCAGATTTTCCGAGCTAAAGGAAAGTCTTTCAGGGGAGATTCGTGATGGCGAGGCACGTATAACCGGCACTCTGGAAGAAAAATTTAAGTTAATAGCAGCTGACTGCAACAAACTCACACTGAGAGTCACTCAATTGGAGAGCGAGGTGAGAGAGATGGGGATGCTGAGGCAGCGGGTCCAGGAGCTGGAGGCGAAACTGTCTAAAAACTGCCAGGATCAGCGCGTTGACGAGTTGGAGGCAAAGTGGGTGGCCTCCTGCAACGCACAGGCGGCGTCTGAAGTCGCCTGTAACTTGCGTTGGCATGGGGTCCCACAAGTCCAGAAGGAAAATGTGAAAGCACTTTTTCACGCACTGTGCTTCTCTCTCAAACTGACCACGCATGCGACCGCGAAAACGACCCGTACAGTAGTGGATCCAATTATAATTATTAAAATGGACACGTGCACGATAAGGCGACACTGCTGCGTGCGATCGGGGCATACCGAAAAGAAAACAAAACGGAACTGAGCTTAAAGCTCATCGGCCTAGACTCGCCAGCGTTTATATATATAAACGAACAGCTGACCAAAACAAAATATGAAATTTTCAAGCGGGCGATGCATCTCAAGAGGCTGAAGCGCCTAACAGCTGTTTTCTCTCGCCGTGGAGATATCTTCGTAAAAGAGAGAGAGGGAGGGGAGGCCATTTGCGTGCAAAGCCTGGGCGAACTGGCTCAAATGGAGATTTGCACCCCCGATGAATTAGCTGCGCTGGAAGCTGCTAGTTCTGGGACATTAAATGATAATTCATTTCGCACCTAAGAGGCGCTTATATTTATATACCATTGTTGTGAAATTATCAGTAGTTTTATTATATTTATTTAGGATTAGTATCAGTCGCATTAATTTTATTTTGTTTCTTGGTGTGGTGTGTCTTTTGTCATAAATATTTATAGACTGCGAGCGCAGCTAATATTACAATTAAATAATTTAAAATGGGTGACAGCAACAACAATAACATAAACATAAATCCAAATCGATCAAATAGCCATGCGATGTTAAGGGTTCTCGGTCTCTGTGTCATATAAATGCTCAAAGCCTCACACGAAAAATTGAAAAATTTAGATACCTCTTTATCAATTCGAGTGTAGATGTTATATGTGTTTCTGAAACTTGGTTTGTTCCTCATTTATGTGATGTTTTAGTTGAATGTGATGGTTATAATTTGCATCGCTCTGATCGTGATAGTCATGGGGGTGGGGTTGCTATATATGTTAGTAAAAAGTTATGTTCCACGTTTATATGTAAACACTCAACCAGTAGAGCAATTGAATATTTATTTATAGAAATTAAATGCCAAAGATATGCTGATAAGCTACTAATTGTGTGTATATACCGACCTAACTGCCGGATTGACTATAAACAATTTTTAAACATCATTCCTGACGTGTCAATTAATTATTCAGACGTCATTATAACAGGCGATTTTAATAGCGATATTTTAAGGGGTTCCGACCTTGCAGAGGACATGAAATCGCTGGGGATAAAGTTGGTTAACTTTGTGTTTTTCTACGCATTTTACCAAAACCCGCAACTCGCTTTTAGACTTATTTTTTGTGTCTAATACAGACAAAGTAGCTACATATGACCAACTTATTGTCCCATCGTTCTCAAAACATGACCTCATATACTTGACTTACGCACTTGACCTACAATACCTTGACCACCCAATAGTTTTTAGGGACTTTAGAAATATCAACTATGACCTTTTGGACTCCACCTTTAATTTGTGCAATTGGAATGACATATATTCCCTTTCCGAAGTAGACGAACAAGTTAACCTTTTACAAAACAATATTTGTTATTTATATAACTGTGTCGTACCTGTTCGTAGCAAAGTTATTCGTTTTTCTGAAAAACCATGGTTCCAAAGAAACATCAAAGACGCAATATTACAGCGTGACGGAGCGTACAATAATAATGTACACTTGTATGCTGATGATGTCCAAATGTATGTGAGTCGTCCTTTAAACAGAATAAATGAATGTATAGATGTTTGTAACAGAGAACTTGAACGTGTAAATGAGTGGGCCGGCAACAATGGACTTGGGATCAACCCATCAAAATCAAAATGTCTTGTCATAAGTAAAAGAAAGATAATTTTTAACAATTTGCAGCCACTGAGTATGAATAGCACGCCACTTGAGTACGTTGATACAGCTGTAAACGTAGGTTTTACATTCAACAGAACTCTTACCTGGAATGATCATATTAAAAAGTCTGTAGGGAAAACATATGGCATAATAAGGACATTATCCGTAACTAAAAATTGCCTGCACACCCATATACGTTTACTAATAGCTAAAACCTGCATTGTTCCAGTGCTATTTTATGGAGTAGAAGTTTTTTCAAACTGTGACACTACCAGTAAGAACAAAATTAAAGTTCTATTTAATTGCATAGCCAGGTATATATTCAACAAACCACATACAGATCACGTATCTGAATTTTCGCTGAAAATATTCGATATCTCGCTAAATGAATGGATAAAGATGCGGAACTTAATTTTTCTGCAAAACATTATTTTCCAAAAAGAACCTTTGTATCTTTTCGAAAAACTTCAATTTACATCCTCTAGAAGAGCAAACAATCTTACTTGCATAAGACCTAGATCATTGACATCCGAAAGACAATTTTTAATTAATGCTATTCGATCATGGAATCAGCTCCCAAACCATCTTAAAAATATTAGCAGTGCCTTTAAAACACTATTACGTAAATTGAAGTAAAAATAGAAGGCGACTTAGGTTAGTTTTTATGAAAATTAGTTTTAAGTATAATGTAACAATTAAATATTTGCAAACTCGTAGTGACTAGCGCATTAACTTATAAGTTCCAAACTTGTAGCGTTAGGATGAAATTTTATAATTAATACAAAATACAAAATACAAATACAAATACATTAAAAGAAACAATGTAACCAAGAAAGGAGGTTTCTAATTTAAAGAATTTAGATTTTTCGAGAGAAATTTTCATATTTGCTCTTTGTAAAATGCCTATTATTTGAGTTAAATCTGAGAAATGTTGCTCGATTGTGTTTGAAAAAATTATAATATCGTCCATGTAGACGTGGCATGTTTTTCCTACTTGTTCTCTGAGAATATCATCCATTGCTCTCTGGAAAATTCTGGGCGCATTGGTTAACCCGAAAATGTTAAGTTTTGCGCGTAGTATATATCTATATGTAAATTTTCTCCTTCTTTAGTTGGAATAGGGGCTTCCCCGATTGGAATTTTTATTGGGTGCCTGTTATATATGTTTTCATTACAAATCACACAATTTTTTATATATTCTTTCAATTTTTTAAATAAGTTTGACCAGTAATATAACCTACTGATTTGTTTATAATTTTCATCTAGACCCCTATGAGCTCGACTGTGTGTTTCTTCTATAATTATGGCTTTATCTTCATCGTTTTCTATGTCTTGAAGAAAGATTCTCGTAAAAAGAAATGGGTTAGTGAAATTATTTTTTAAGGGTAATTGAATGTGATATAAGTCCTCTAATGTACAATGAATTCCTACCGTAATGTTTGGTGGAATATACTCTTTAAATATAGTTATTAAATTTTCTGGTGTATCGTATTCAATTATGTGTCGTGTCCTGCCAAAAACTTCCACTGACCCATGTATTGTAAACCTCCCCGTTGTTAATAACAGTTGTTGCTTAAACTGATTTAACGGTTTACGGGTCTCTTGTATTACATTTTCAAAACTACTGTCAGCAGAATGCTGTGTGTTTTGATCTGAGTCTGACTGTTCTGTTTGTTCTACATCACTGTTTGTAATGTTATTTATTTGTATTCGAGATAATGCACCGGCTACAACATTTGTTGTACCGGGTTTATATATTATTTTTGGGGTAAAGCTTTCTAAGAAAGAATACGATCTTTTCATTTCTACGTTGGGATTTTTGTCCAAAATCGTAAAAGACAAAGATTGATGGTCCGTTTGGATTTCTATACCAACTACTCCGTACAAATAATTTCTCAAATTTTTTAAGGCCCATACTATTGCTAGCAGTTCCTTTTTGTTAGTGACATAAAGTTGCTCGGTTTTATATTAAGTGTCTTAGAAATGAAAGTAATTGGTTTGTTATCCTGTGATAATACCGCCCCAATAGCTACGTCTGATGCGTCTGTTGTCAAAGTGAATTTTTTACCATAATCTGGTTGAACTAGTTCAACTTGTGCTATTAGATTCTCTTTTAGTTCGTTAAAAGCTTGTTTAGCTGAATCGTCTAATTTTACTAAAACTTTTGTAGATATTCTTTTAGAAACATTTCCATTTTCCCCTCCTAAATATTTTGTAAGTGGTTTTGCAATTTTTGCATAATTACGTATAAATTTTCGGTAATAGCCAGTTAAGCCTAGAAAACTTCGAAGTCCTTAATATTTTGTGGTAACGGATACATTGAGATTGTGAAAATTTTACATTGTTTAAACTCGTGAGAGAGAAATAGACGCACTTTTGTGAAGCTCCGCTTTAAACACCGAAAAACACCTTTAACTCGGCTTAAAAATTAAAAACTGCTTACGGCAGCATCATTAATAAGAGTACAACACGTTAAAGCTCTTGTTGCCCGAAATAAATCGGTTTTAAGCATTAAATCGCTTCTTAATAAATCCACAATTAAGTGCAACAACAATCCAATAAAGAAACAGTGCATAGCAAAACACAAGAGCACAGAGACAAAACACTCAGCACATCAAAACACTCAACACATCAAAACACTCAACCCTCTCGGCACCAACACAATAATGTCTTCAGCAGCAAAGCGACTTAGGAAGGAAACTCACTCCGATCTGAAGGGAGCCCGTGACTCCGATGCTCAACTGCTTCCACGATCGACCTCAGATTTTCCGAGCTAAAGGAAAGTCTTTCAGGGGAGATTCGTGATGGCGAGGCACGTATAACCGGCACTCTGGAAGAAAAATTTAAGTTAATAGCAGCTGACTGCAACAAACTCACACTGAGAGTCACTCAATTGGAGAGCGAGGTGAGAGAGATGGGGATGCTGAGGCAGCGGGTCCAGGAGCTGGAGGCGAAACTGTCTAAAAACTGCCAGGGTCAGCGCGTTGACGAGTTGGAGGCAAAGTGGGTGGCCTCCTGCAACGCACAGGCGGCGTCTGAAGTCGCCTGTAACTTGCGTTGGCATGGGGTCCCACAAGTCCAGGGGGAAAATGTGAAAGCACTTTTTCACGCACTGTACTTCTCTCTCAAACTGACCACGCATGCGACCGCGAAAACGACCCGTACAGTAGTGGATCCAATTATAATTATTAAAATGGACACGTGCACGATAAGGCGACACTGCTGCGTGCGATCGGGGCATACCGAAAAGAAAACAAAACGGAACTGAGCTTAAAGCTCATCGGCCTAGACTCGCCAGCGTTTATATATATAAACGAACAGCTGACCAAAACAAAATATGAAATTTTCAAGCGGGCGATGCATCTCAAGAGGCTGAAGCGCCTAACAGCTGTTTTCTCTCGCCGTGGAGATATCTTCGTAAAGGAGAGAGAGGGAGGGGAGGCCATTTGCGTGCAAAGCCTGGGCGAACTGGCTCAAATGGAGATTTGCACCCCCGATGAATTAGCTGCGCTGGAAGCTGCTAGTTCTGGGACATTAAATGATAATTCATTTCGCACCTAAGAGGCGCATATATTTATATACCATTGTTGTGAAATTATCAGTAGTTTTATTATATTTATTTAGGATTAGTATCAGTCGCATTAATTTTATTTTGTTTCTTGGTGTGGTGTGTCTTTATGTCATAAATATTTATAGACTGCGAGCGCAGCTAATATTACAATTAAATAATTTAAAATGGGTGACAGCAACAACAATAACATAAACATAAATCCAAATCGATCAAATAGCCATGCGATGTTAAGGGTTCTCGGTCTCTGTGTCATATAAATGCTCAAAGCCTCACACGATAAATTGAAGAATTTAGATACCTCTTTATCAATTCGAGTGTAGATGTTATATGTGTTTCTGAAACTTGGTTTGTTCCTCATTTGTGTGATGTTTTAGTTGAATGTGATGGTTATAATTTGCATCGCTCTGATCGTGATAGTCATGGGGGTGGGGTTGCTATATATGTTAGTAAAAAGTTATGTTCCACGTTTATATGTAAACACTCAACCAGTAGAGCAATTGAATATTTATTTATAGAAATTAAATGCCAAAGATATGCTGATAAGCTACTAATTGTGTGTATATACCGACCTAACTGCCGGATTGACTATAAACAATTTTTAAACATCATTCCTGACGTGTCAATTAATTATTCAGACGTCATTATAACAGGCGATTTTAATAGCGATATTTTAAGGGGTTCCGACCTTGCAGAGGACATGAAATCGCTGGGGATGAAGTTGGTTAACTTTGTGTTTTTCTACGCATTTTACCAAAACCCGCAACTCGCTTTTAGACTTATTTTTTGTGTCTAATACAGACAAAGTAGCTACATATGACCAACTTATTGTCCCATCGTTCTCAAAACATGACCTCATATACTTGACTTACGCACTTGACCTACAATACCTTGACCACCCAATAGTTTTTAGGGACTTTAGAAATATCAACTATGACCTTTTGGACTCCACCTTTAATTTGTGCAATTGGAATGACATATATTCCCTTTCCGAAGTAGACGAACAAGTTAACCTTTTACAAAACAATATTTGTTATTTATATAACTGTGTCGTACCTGTTCGTAGCAAAGTTATTCGTTTTTCTGAAAAACCATGGTTCCAAAGAAACATCAAAGACGCAATATTACAGCGTGACGGAGCGTACAATAATAATGTACACTTGTATGCTGATGATGTCCAAATGTATGTGAGTCGTCCTTTAAACAGAATAAATGAATGTATAGATGTTTGTAACAGAGAACTTGAACGTGTAAATGAGTGGGCCGGCAACAATGGACTTGGGATCAACCCATCAAAATCAAAATGTCTTGTCATAAGTAAAAGAAAGATAATTTTTAACAATTTGCAGCCACTGAGTATGAATAGCACGCCACTTGAGTACGTTGATACAGCTGTAAACGTAGGTTTTACATTCAACAGAACTCTTACCTGGAATGATCATATTAAAAAGTCTGTAGGGAAAACATATGGCATAATAAGGACATTATCCGTAACTAAAAATTGCCTGCACACCCATATACGTTTACTAATAGCTAAAACCTGCATTGTTCCAGTGCTATTTTATGGAGTAGAAGTTTTTTCAAACTGTGACACTACCAGTAAGAACAAAATTAAAGTTCTATTTAATTGCATAGCCAGGTATATATTCAACCAACCACATACAGATCACGTATCTGAATTTTCGCTGAAAATATTCGATATCTCGCTAAATGAATGGATAAAGATGCGGAACTTAATTTTTCTGCAAAACATTATTTTCCAAAAAGAACCTTTGTATCTTTTCGAAAAACTTCAATTTACATCCTCTAGAAGAGCAAACAATCTTACTTGCATAAGACCTAGATCATTGACATCCGAAAGACAATTTTTAATTAATGCTATTCGATCATGGAATCAGCTCCCAAACCATCTTAAAAATATTAGCAGTGCCTTTAAAACACTATTACGTAAATTGAAGTAAAAATAGAAGGCGACTTAGGTTAGTTTTTATGAAAATTAGTTTTAAGTATAATGTAACAATTAAATATTTGCAAACTCGTAGTGACTAGCGCATTAACTTATAAGTTCCAAACTTGTAGCGTTAGGATGAAATTTTATAATTAATACAAAATACAAAAATACAAATACAAATACATTAAAAGAAACAATGTAACCAAGAAAGGAGGTTTCTAATTTAAAGAATTTAGATTTTTCGAGAGAAATTTTCATATTTGCTCTTTGTAAAATGCCTATTATTTGAGTTAAATCTGAGAAATGTTGCTCGATTGTGTTTGAAAAATTATAATATCGTCCATGTAGACGTGGCATGTTTTTCCTACTTGTTCTCTGAGAATATCATCCATTGCTCTCTGGAAAATTCTGGGCGCATTGGTTAACCCGAAAATGTTAAGTTTTGCGCGTAGTATATATCTATATGTAAATTTTCTCCTTCTTTAGTTGGAATAGGGGCTTCCCCGATTGGAATTTTTATTGGGTGCCTGTTATATATGTTTTCATTACAAATCACACAATTTTTTATATATTCTTTCAATTTTTTAAATAAGTTTGACCAATAATATAACCTACTGATTTGTTTATAATTTTCATCTAGACCCCTATGAGCTCGACTGTGTGTTTCTTCTATAATTATGGCTTTATCTTCATCGTTTTCTATGTCTTGAAGAAAGATTCTCGTAAAAAGAAATGGGTTAGTGAAATTATTTTTTAAGGGTAATTGAATGTGATATAAGTCCTCTAATGTACAATGAATTCCTACCGTAATGTTTGGTGGAATATACTCTTTAAATATAGTTATTAAATTTTCTGGTGTATCGTATTCAATTATGTGTCGTGTCCTGCCAAAAACATCCACTGACCCATGTATTGTAAACCTCCCCGTTGTTAATAACAGTTGTTGCTTAAACTGATTTAACGGTTTACGGGTCTCATGTATTACATTTTCAAAACTACTGTCAGCAGAATGCTGTGTGTTTTGATCTGAGTCTGACTGTTCTGTTTGTTCTACATCACTGTTTGTAATGTTATTTATTTGTATTCGAGATAATGCACCGGCTACAACATTTGTTGTACCGGGTTTATATATTATTTTTGGGGTAAAGCTTTCTAAGAAAGAATACGATCTTTTCATTTCTACGTTGGGATTTTTGTCCAAAATCGTAAAAGATAAAGATTGATGGTCCGTTTGGATTTCTATACCAACTACTCCGTACAAATAATTTCTCAAATTTTTTAAGGCCCATACTATTGCTAGCAGTTCCTTTTTGTTAGTGACATAAAGTTGCTCGGTTTTATATTAAGTGTCTTAGAAATGAAAGTAATTGGTTTGTTATCCTGTGATAATACCGCCCCAATAGCTACGTCTGATGCGTCTGTTGTCAAAGTGAATTTTTTACCATAATCTGGTTGAACTAGTTCAACTTGTGCTATTAGATTCTCTTTTAGTTCATTAAAAGCTTGTTTAGCTGAATCGTCTAATTTTACTAAAACTTTTGTAGATATTCTTTTAGAAACATTTCCATTTTCCCCTCCTAAATATTTTCTAAGTGGTTTTGCAATTTTTGCATAATTACGTATAAATTTTCGGTAATAGCCAGTTAAGCCTAGAAAACTTCGAAGTCCTTAATATTTTGTGGTAACGGATACATTGAGATTGTGAAAATTTTACATTGTTTAAACTCGTGAGAGAGAAATAGACGCACTTTTGTGAAGCTCCGCTTTAAACACCGAAAAACACCTTTAACTCGGCTTAAAAAATTAAAAACTGCTTACGGCAGCATCATTAATAAGAGTACAACACGTTAAAGCTCTTGTTGCCCGAAATAAATCGGTTTTAAGCATTAAATCGCTTCTTAATAAATCCACAATTAAGTGCAACAACAATCCAATAAAGAAACAGTGCATAGCAAAACACAAGAGCACAGAGACAAAACACTCAGCACATCAAAACACTCAACACAGCAAAACACTCAACCCTCTCGGCACCAACACAATAATGTCTTCAGCAGCAAAGCGACTTAGGAAGGAAACTCACTCCGATCTGAAGGGAGCCCGTGACTCCGATGCTCAACTGCTTCCACGATCGACCTCAGATTTTCCGAGCTAAAGGAAAGTCTTTCAGGGGAGATTCGTGATGGCGAGGCACGTATAACCGGCACTCTGGAAGAAAAATTTAAGTTAATAGCAGCTGACTGCAACAAACTCACACTGAGAGTCACTCAATTGGAGAGCGAGGTGAGAGAGATGGGGATGCTGAGGCAGAGGGTCCAGGAGCTGGAGGCGAAACTGTCTAAAAACTGCCAGGATCAGCGCGTTGACGAGTTGGAGGCAAAGTGGGTGGCCTCCTGCAACGCACAGGCGGCGTCTGAAGTCGCCTGTAACTTGCGTTGGCATGGGGTCCCACAAGTCCAGGGGGAAAATGTGAAAGCACTTTTTCACGCACTGTGCTTCTCTCTCAAACTGACCACGCATGCGACCGCGAAAACGACCCGTACAGTAGTGGATCCAATTATAATTATTAAAATGGACACGTGCACGATAAGGCGACACTGCTGCGTGCGATCGGGGCATACCGAAAAGAAAACAAAACGGAACTGAGCTTAAAGCTCATCGGCCTAGACTCGCCAGCGTTTATATATATAAACGAACAGCTGACCAAAACAAAATATGAAATTTTCAAGCGGGCGATGCATCTCAAGAGGCTGAAGCGCCTAACAGCTGTTTTCTCTCGCCGTGGAGATATCTTCGTAAAGGAGAGAGAGGGAGGGGAGGCCATTTGCGTGCAAAGCCTGGGCGAACTGGCTCAAATGGAGATTTGCACCCCCGATGAATTAGCTGCGCTGGAAGCTGCTAGTTCTGGGACATTAAATGATAATTCATTTCGCACCTAAGAGGCGCTTATATTTATATACCATTGTTGTGAAATTATCAGTAGTTTTATTATATTTATTTAGGATTAGTATCAGTCGCATTAATTTTATTTTGTTTCTTGGTGTGGTGTGTCTTTATGTCATAAATATTTATAGACTGCGAGCGCAGCTAATATTACAATTAAATAATTTAAAATGGGTGACAGCAACAACAATAACATAAACATAAATCCAAATCGATCAAATAGCCATGCGATGTTAAGGGTTCTCGGTCTCTGTGTCATATAAATGCTCAAAGCCTCACACGATAAATTGAAGAATTTAGATACCTCTTTATCAATTCGAGTGTAGATGTTATATGTGTTTCTGAAACTTGGTTTGTTCCTCATTTGTGTGATGTTTTAGTTGAATGTGATGGTTATAATTTGCATCGCTCTGATCGTGATAGTCATGGGGGGTGGGGTTGCTATATATGTTAGTAAAAAGTTATGTTCCACGTTTATATGTAAACACTCAACCAGTAGAGCAATTGAATATTTATTTATAGAAATTAAATGCCAAAGATATGCTGATAAGCTACTAATTGTGTGTATATACCGACCTAACTGCCGGATTGACTATAAACAATTTTTAAACATCATTCCTGACGTGTCAATTAATTATTCAGACGTCATTATAACAGGCGATTTTAATAGCGATATTTTAAGGGGTTCCGACCTTGCAGAGGACATGAAATCGCTGGGGATGAAGTTGGTTAACTTTGTGTTTTTCTACGCATTTTACCAAAACCCGCAACTCGCTTTTAGACTTATTTTTTGTGTCTAATACAGACAAAGTAGCTACATATGACCAACTTATTGTCCCATCGTTCTCAAAACATGACCTCATATACTTGACTTACGCACTTGACCTACAATACCTTGACCACCCAATAGTTTTTAGGGACTTTAGAAATATCAACTATGACCTTTTGGACTCCACCTTTAATTTGTGCAATTGGAATGACATATATTCCCTTTCCGAAGTAGACGAACAAGTTAACCTTTTACAAAACAATATTTGTTATTTATATAACTGTGTCGTACCTGTTCGTAGCAAAGTTATTCGTTTTTCTGAAAAACCATGGTTCCAAAGAAACATCAAAGACGCAATATTACAGCGTGACGGAGCGTACAATAATAATGTACACTTGTATGCTGATGATGTCCAAATGTATGTGAGTCGTCCTTTAAACAGAATAAATGAATGTATAGATGTTTGTAACAGAGAACTTGAACGTGTAAATGAGTGGGCCGGCAACAATGGACTTGGGATCAACCCATCAAAATCAAAATGTCTTGTCATAAGTAAAAGAAAGATAATTTTTAACAATTTGCAGCCACTGAGTATGAATAGCACGCCACTTGAGTACGTTGATACAGCTGTAAACGTAGGTTTTACATTCAACAGAACTCTTACCTGGAATGATCATATTAAAAAGTCTGTAGGGAAAACATATGGCATAATAAGGACATTATCCGTAACTAAAAATTGCCTGCACACCCATATACGTTTACTAATAGCTAAAACCTGCATTGTTCCAGTGCTATTTTATGGAGTAGAAGTTTTTCAAACTGTGACACTACCAGTAAGAACAAAATTAAAGTTCTATTTAATTGCATAGCCAGGTATATATTCAACCAACCACATACAGATCACGTATCTGAATTTTCGCTGAAAATATTCGATATCTCGCTAAATGAATGGATAAAGATGCGGAACTTAATTTTTCTGCAAAACATTATTTTCCAAAAAGAACCTTTGTATCTTTTCGAAAAACTTCAATTTACATCCTCTAGAAGAGCAAACAATCTTACTTGCATAAGACCTAGATCATTGACATCCGAAAGACAATTTTTAATTAATGCTATTCGATCATGGAATCAGCTCCCAAACCATCTTAAAAATATTAGCAGTGCCTTAAAAACACTATTACGTAAATTAAAGTAAAAATAGAAGGCGACTTAGATTAGTTTTTATGAAAATTAGTTTTAAGTATAATGTAACAATTAAATATTTGCAAACTCGTAGTGACTAGCGCATTAACTTATAAGTTCCAAACTTGTAGCGTTAGGATCAAATTTTATAATTAATACAAAATACAAAATACAAATACAAATACATTAAAAGAAACAATGTAACCAAGAAAGGAGGTTTCTAATTTAAAGAATTTAGATTTTTCGAGAGAAATTTTCATATTTGCTCTTTGTAAAATGCCTATTATTTGAGTTAAATCTGAGAAATGTTGCTCGATTGTGTTTGAAAAAATTATAATATCGTCCATGTAGACGTGGCATGTTTTTCCTACTTGTTCTCTGAGAATATCATCCATTGCTCTCTGGAAAATTCTGGGCGCATTGGTTAACCCGAAAGGCATGCGTAAAAGTTCAAATTTTCCGTTGTTAATAGAAAAAGATGTTTTTTCAATATCTGAGTCTTTCATAAGAATTTGATGGAATTCTGATTCCAAATCAATTGTGGAAAAATATTTTGCCTTTCCTAAGTTGGCTATTATAACAGACGGGTCTTGCATCGGGTATCTATCCGGTATTGTGTTCTCATTTAATTTTTTGTAGTCTATTACAAGTCTGTGTTTAGGGCTACCGTCTTCATTTTGACCCTTTTTGGGTACCACCAGTACTGCTGAATTGTAAGGTCTTCTACTCGGCCTTATAATATTTTCATTTATCATTCTATTGATTTCATTGTTAACGAAATCTGAAACTGATAAAGCATAGGGATATTGTTTACTATAAATGGCCCTTTCGTTATTTGTATTTATTTCGCCCCGAATATCAGTTCTAAAAGGGGTTTTGTGTTCCCAAACGTTTTAACTTTTTGTTGACGGAAAATTCTTCGTCGGTGTGTTCAGGAATTTTTTGTCCAAAACTATATAATTTTTTGTTGACGGATTTTTCTACGTCGGCGAGTTTAGGATTTCTAGATCCCAAACTATTTGATTTTTTGTTGACGGATATTTCTACGTCGGCGTGTTCAGGATTTCTAGATCCCAAACTATTTGATTTTTTGTTGACGGATAATTCTACGCCGGCTTGCTCAGGATTCTGTGATCCCAAGCTAAATAAACTTTTTCCACCATTTGTGAATCTGTTTTATTTTCACTTTGCTCTTCAAAGTATTTTTTTATAATATATTCTATTAATGGAAGGATATTTTTTCCATTTGTTAGCGATAATTGGTTTAAAGAATTATCCTCATCGTAAAGTAATTTTTCTTTTTTCCCGTTATAATTGATGGTCCCTTTTTGAATATCAATTACCGCTCCTATTTTTTTTAAAAGATTAAAACCTATAAGTAAGTCGGACTCTAACCCTTTATTTCATAAAATACTTGTGTGTCTTGTGTTAAATATCGTTATTAAATGATAATATTTTATTATTGTAAACCCATTAATGGTTGAAACTCCTTTGTAAATTGGGAGCTCTTTTTTATTTTGATAAATTCACCTTTTTATGTAACAAGATGTTGCTCCTGTATTAATTAAAACTTTTAATTCCTTTTCGATTTTTTTGCCAGTTCTCATTAAGTAGGGTAATCCTACTCCGGATTCTGATCTAAAAAATGATCCTCTTCTATGTTATTTACTCTCATAATTTTCTGAGCAGGCTGATTAATTGAACCAGTTGGTTCCCGCTTTAACTGTGGATGTGATTCAATTGGTTTGTTTTGAGTGGCGCTTATATTTGTTTTTTGCGCTTGGTTTTGATTATAATTATTTCTTGGATAATAATTATTATAATTTTGTTTGTTATTATTACCCCTGTTAAAATTATTATTAGGACGAATTTGATACTGGATTGATTTATCTATCTCCATGGGTTCAGGAGCAGGCTGTACCTGATTGTTATTATTTTGTCATATTCATTGCAGAGGGTAATATAAACTCAGTCTTGATCAGCAACTTTAGGAGAGCCTATCTAGTCGCCTTGCCGTTTTCAAATTAGTCTCTCAGTTTTAAATCTATCTGCAGGAAATTTTCCGAAAAGTAACCATTTTAGTACATGTAAAATATGAGTCGAGACCAGGCTTGTTGATAAATGATACGTCAATAGTGTAACTGTTTGGTTTGATCTTTATTTGCATTCACCGAACATTTTAAATTAAATGACCGCTGATGTCTTCCCGATGACATCACCTCCACCGAAACCCCCTCGAGCATTGTCCCACTAACGGCGATGCTGTTCAACCCGGACATAGGATCGCCAACGCAGTGGTCTCTGGATGCCGGATCGTGTAAACAACTGGGTCTCGGGCATCCGGCCGAAACCGCTGACCTAGGAGATTTCGCAAACTCAACATATGTACCCCACCCGCAAACGAAGCTCTCGATTGTACTTGAAACCAAAAATAAAAATCAGTCTGAGAGCGACACTTGAAAGCATAAGACTTTTATTCAGAAGCCTTCTCAAAACTCCACCAGGGTCTTCCCGAAGCCTCCTAAACTCCACCAGCACAGTCTACACCAGCCCGACCCGGCCACAGACGCAGAGTAATACAAGAATCGGCAGAGTCACAGAAGAATATGTTACCGTTTTGAGATGAACGGAAAAGTACTGCCTAAGACAATGCAGTTGGTCAAAGCTCTTACATATACATATGAATTAAGTTGCGCTTCATGTGCTCGTGTGAGTGTGGATAATGTGGACAATGATAGATAAGATAAACAAAGTAAACGAATAGGGTGTCTGATTCAAAAACAGACTGTTTTGACGACAACCGGGATAAACAATTAGTCACTCAGTCGAAAACGTTCGAAAAAATTTCTAAACGCGAGGTTTTGCGATTCGCGATGCTAATTCGCACATCGTAAACTAAAGTTATAATTAATAAATTAATTAATCTTTGCGCACTATCAATGAACAAATCAGTAAGAACGTGGATCAGCGCACTCAACGCCAAAAACAACAAGACGAAGCCCGTGAAAAATTTCTGAGAGAGTAAGACAAACGTCGTCTCTCTTTGGCCCGTAACAACGCTTATTTCTCGTTCACGAGTATTACTCTAGAACCGAAAGTGCCAGAAAGTGTAAGTTTACTGACCGCCGAAAAGCAGAGCGGGTTCGGCCATCCAGACATGCATGGAGCGCTATATTAATATTTCCAAGCGCAAGCTAACACCACAAAAAAATCTGACGGCAATATGCCAAAAATAAACCGTACGAACAAAGGCCCTGAAAATTTCGGGCCATTAAATGAAAGTAGATTTTCCATTCTGGCGGAGCCTGAAACAGAGTCTGAAAAATTATCCCCAAAGAAACTTAAGCTCCATCCTATCTTTATTTGGGAGAAGATCTCCAACAAAATAGTTGAGCTTGTCGGAAAAGATAACTTTCATGTTATTCCGCTTATGAAAGGGAATATAAGCGAAACTAAACTTCAAACCAAACCCGAAGATGATTTCCGAGCAGAGTCGAAGTACTTTAACGATGTCAAAAAGAATTACTACACGTACCAGCTGAAGTTGCAACGGCTTACAAGTTGTACTCAATGGAATAGAACCCGATGTGACCCTCTCCGAAGAAGCCGCAACGATTTTCTAAGTAGAGCTGGAGCCAGACAGCAGAACTTTGAAAAAAAAGGCAGTGCACCCGATCTACAAGTTGCAGTACCTTCAGAGGCCTCTATTACAGAGGCTATCCAGTCTACAAGGAGATGAAAAGTCGGATGCAACGAGCGACAACGGCACGCTAGAACATTTACATGAAATCACAACCGACTCTTGAAGTTTTATTCGCAACAGGAGCCAGGTCATCATTTGGCCTGCAATTACCACCAACGGCATTTCCTACGTCATTGCTCTAAGATCAAGCACAGCTCACATAGAACCGAAAATTGATAACATGCAGCCGGCCATGGGACAGCCACAAAGTAACATGGAAACTATGATGATAACATTGCAACAAAATATGATGGAATTTATGTCCTTCATGCAAACCACCATGAAAACTCTAATGCAAAACTAAAATATCTTGTTACAAATGCTGGCAGCTCAGCAGTCCAAATAAAATATACCTACGGTGTTTCACGGCATATACCTGAAATACAGTTGGGCAACTGCAACCTTGCCATTGCCGCTGTCTACTGCCCACAACGCTTTACAGTCTCCGAAGACCAATTCATGGACTTCTAAAATTCACTTGGAAGCATAGTCTTAAGGAAGCTGGTCGCAGACTTACCACGGTTCTAAGGCACGATGAAAAAAAGCACAACGTCAGTAAATTGAGAAACTTTCACCAACCAGCACCAAGTATCCCTTGTGGAGGGCCCATCCAAATCTAAGAGCGCCGGCCGAAACAGTAATTCCCATAAGAGACTCTTCAGGCAAGTATTTACATTAGCTTTAAACCTTCGAAATGTTTTTTACTACCGTCGCCGTCCATTCGAACTGGGACTGAGACGGCGCCAATTCTGTTTCAACTAAACGAAGTTGCAAAAGTCATAACCGAACAATTAAAAACAAAAAGGCCCCAGGCGGTGATCTAAAAACTCCTAAGATGCTAATTGAACTTTCAAACTGTGCAGTTGAGGTTATTTGTAAACTCTTTAACGGGATCACACGACTTGGATACTTCCCAAAAAAATGGAAAAATTCGGTAATCATAATGATCACAAAGCCAAGAAAAGATCACACAATACCAGCTTCAACAGACCGATAAGTTTAATCTCGTGTCTGTCAAAACGCATAATCCCGTTTCTGAAAGAGCACAACGATATTCCGGCACGTTAATTTGACTTTCGAGAAAGCAATGGAACAATAGAGCAAGTCAATCAGTGGCGTAGATAGCTTTTTGATATGGGGGGGATATGACTCAGAATAATATCCTGTTTTTTTGGAAGATTTATTTTACACTGCGATAATAATCCGCGTTGCACAGTCGTGTACAGAAATTGGTCACATTTTTCACATTGATAAGTTGCTTTATAAAAAAATTCTCTTATCGAAGAAGAAATTCAAGCTTTCGAGATTTTTTTGCTAATTCATCAATGACTTCGTCTGCTGTGATTATATGCAGCTGATGCAGCGCCGCAGCACGCAGTAAACTGAGAGGCACTGTGACTGACTGAGGTATCACTTGGAGGTCCGTTAGAAGCGCTGGAGTTATCATATTTTCCACGAACCCTCCAGATGAACAATAAACCGGCAGGCAGACGCCAAAACTTCGTAAATCCTGGGAAACGCAGCGACCGCTGGCAAGCTAAAAGATTCCAGGAAGAATTTGTCGGTTGACAAGAAGTCAACAGTATTGAACATAACTCGGGCATTCGAAATTTTAATATGCTGTACTGCACATCCATCGCGTAAAAATGTGTTTCAATTTTGAGATTATATCATCTTATAAATCTCAGACCCAAGGGGGGGGATTGATCCCCCTGATCCCCCCTATCTACGCTACTGGATATGACTGATGATACTATCGCCGGCATGTTTTTTCCACTAATTTTTGAGAACTACACTTTTCACAATTTGCACTTTTTTTCAGCTGTTTCATTTATACCCTAAATTGGTGCTCACTACGACGAAAATTGATGGAATTAAGTTCGCACATTCACATATAATTCGAAATATTTTATGTTTATTGCAGATTTTTGGTTGTTATTCCGATTTTTACACGAATGCAAAAAGATGAAAGATAGGCCAAAGCACAATTGACAAAACGCCACAAATTAACTTTCAACTTTTAGAAATTTGGACACATTTCCAGGAATTGTCCACAAAGTGAAAAGGCAGTCGAAGAAAACAAGCCCAACGCGCGAGTTTTAAGTGAACACAGTGACATGACGAAAGCAGTTTCAATTCAAAATCAGAATTGCGAGCGCTGTTTAATACGGGCAGCAAGTTCAACATTTTGCGCGAAGACTTATACAAGCAGTTAGCTTTGCCAAGGTTGAAAGAGTGCAGTGAATATTTAATTGGATTTGGAAAAGATCGCTGTGCCAATAAGATCAAGCCGGTTGGACAGTGTAAGCAAGCAGTATCGATTGACAACAGTGTTTATGACTTGAACTTCTTTATAATTCCGTGTGTCTGTATGGACACTCGTTTGATAATAGGGGAAGAACTGTTCTTGCAGCAGAAGTTTCGTTTTGTCCTACTGGTTTGCGTGTGCGAAAGTTCAACAATCTTGACGAAGATTAATTGGAATCCAATTTAATGCAAATCGAAGCAGTGATTGACAACGAAGAACTCGATATGAATCAATCAGCCAGTGAGTATGCAAAGAAAGAGGTGCGTGAACTAATAACGAAGTACATTCCTAAACCATCGAAGTCAACAAATATTGAAATGAAAATCATATTAAACGACGAAACCCCAATTTTTTCGCGACCGCGTAGATTTGCATTCGCTGAAACGAAAGTAATTGACGATCAAATCGAGCAGTGGCTCTCAAACGGCGTAATCGAAGAGTCCGACTCTGAATTTACAAGCCCGGTAGTGCTTGCTAAGAAAAACGACGGTTCCCAACGACTTTGTGTGGATTTCACGCGTATCAACAAGGTAATAATTAAAGACCATTTTCCGTTGCCCCTGATTGACCACCAGCTTGATCGCTTACAAGAAGCTATGATGTTTAGCACGATTGACTTGAGGAATGGCTTTTTTCATGTGTTTTTTCCGATTCCAGCAAGAAGTACACCTCATTCGTGACCCAAAGCGGGCAGTACCAGTTCTTTAAGGAGCTTTTTGGTTTGTCAAACTCACCTGGAGTGTTTCAGAGTCCCATTAATGCGATTTTCCGAACGCTGACTCCCAGAGGAATCGCTCTCCCTTACGTTGTCGATATCATTATACCAGCAAAGGACGAAAAGGAGGCTGTATCGAACCTCAAAGAAGTTATAGGAACTTGCAGCAACTATGGGCTAGAACTCAACCTAAAGAAATGTCATTTCCTGCAGACCCGTATTCAGTTTTTAGGTCACGTCATCGAGAATAAAACAATTTCCCCGACGCCTCAGAAGATCGATGCCGTTTCGAAATTCAAGACTCCACAGAATCTCAAGCAGCTAGAGGTTTGTAGTAGCCCAGAGGTAGGTGTTTACTAGATATTGGTAGTTTTCTAGCGTATAGACGGATCGGTGTTCGTGCACTTCTTGCATGGCTCGGTGCAAAGCTCGTCGGATATAGCGTGGGTCTTCCTCTTCATCTATATATCACACCCGTTATACTACGAAAAGTTTTAAGTGCATTATCTGTACTTTAATGACTGGTCAAAATATTGTAGATATCGGATGACACAGACGGACCCTAAAGAATATATA